GGTTTAGAGGATGGGATTATGGGAGGGGCTTTGGGGGCGGGGCTTAAAGGGGGCGGGGCTGGAAGGGGTTATGGGGGTGGCAAAGGGAGTTTATATGGGTGGGAGGGGCCTGTGTGGGAGGGGCTTAAAGGGTTTTTATGGGGGTAGGGGAGGGGTTTGTAAGGGGCAGGGCTCAACCCATAGGGCTCAATGGGAGGGGGCGTGGCCTCTCTAAGCCCCGCCCCTTCCCCCTGTCCCCAGCCGGCCCCGCCCCCCCTGCGCTGCCCCCACCCCCCCTGCCCTATGGCCGCCCATCCCCCCTGCCTGGCGGGGCACTTCCTGCAGCCGGAGCCCCACGAGCTGCTTCCGGTGGGCGGGGCCTGCCCCAGGTGGTCGGGGCTTGTTGCTAAGGCGGGGGTCTAAGGGGCGGGGCTTGAACCTAAAGGGGGGGTTAATGGGAGGGGCTTGTTAATGGGCGGGGCTTGATGCTAAGGGGGGTTTAATGGGAGGGGCTTGTTCCTAAGGGGCGGGGCTTAATGATAAGGGGGTTTTATTGGGAGGGGCTTGTTGCTAAGGGGCGGGGCTTGTCCCTATTGTGGTTGCTAAGGGCTGGGGCTTAGCACTAAAGGAGGAGCTAAGGGGCGGGGCTTGTTCCCATAGCAACAGCCAATGGCTATGCCCCATATGGGGGGCGTGGCTTTAAGTTTAGCCCCGCCCCTCCCCAGCTGCCACTCCTACCTCCTATGGGGCAACCTCATTCGCTACAGCCTTGGCCAGGGTGACGTCATCGAGGGGGAGGAGCCACAGGTAAGCCCCGCCCCCCTTTAAGCCCCGCCCCTTTCTTAAGGCTCCGCCCCCTTCGACCTCTTTTTTCTCCCTATAGGGTCCAGCGCTGGTGCCGCAGGGGGCGGGACCTCCTCTTGGCTCCGCCCCCCTTTCCTTTGAAGGTCAATAAAGGTTCCTATGACATCATTGGTGACGTCAGCAATGACATCAGCGCCCATTTCACCCCATGGCCCCCCCATTTTGGGTCCCTGGGGCTGGTTTGAGGTGGGATTTGGGGCTATTTTGGGGCTAAAAGGGTCACTTTTGGGGTTGAATGGGGCCCTGCCCCCTTCCCACCCTTTTTTCTCCCAGTTTTTTCCCATTTTCCTCATTTTTTGCTCCTTTTTCACTGATTTTTACCATTCTTTATTTTTCATTCATTTTTCACTGTTTTCCAGCTGTTTTTTCCCATTTTTCCCCATTTCCTTCTACTTTCCACCCCATCCCACCCACCACTACATTTTGCTCATTTTCTTGCTATTTTCCCCCATTTTCTCCCCATTTCTCCTTTTTTCCCCCCGCTTTATCCCATTTTTCCCCATTTTGGTCATTTTTGCCCTGGTTTCCCCTATTTTTTCTACATTTTTTTCCATTAGTGCTATTCTACCCCATTTTTTTTTTCATGTTTTCCCCGTTTTTTCCTGTTTCTTCCCCATTTCCTTTTTTTTCTTGCTTTTCCCTTTTAATTTTTTAATTTTCACCCCATATTTCCCATTTTTCCCCGTTTTTTTATTATCCCCCATTTTTACACCTTTTTAAGCATTCCTTCCACATTTTTGCCTATTTTCCCCATTTTCTCTCCATTTTTCCCCATTTCTACCCCTTTTTAACCCATTTTTCCCATTTTCTTCTAATTTCTCCCCATTTTTCCCTTTAACACCCCACCCATCCGCCCCCCCCCCCCCACCCCCGCATCTTCCACCCGGTTTCAGGTCATTTCTTCCTGCAGGCCACCCCATAATGTTCTTTTTCCTGTTTTCTCACCATTTTTCCCATCTTTTCTCAGTTTTTTCCTGTTTTACCAATTTCCCCACCCACCATTGCCAATTTTCACCCATTTTTGCCCCATTTTGGGTCACTTCTTCCTGCTCTCCCTGCAGGCCACCCTGTCCTATTCTTTTCTACTATTTCCCCATTTCCCCCCCATTTTTCCCAATATTTTCACCTTTTTCCCCCATTTATTCCCATTTTACCCATTTCCACCCCATTTTCACCCATTTTCCCCCTCGTTTTTGCCCATTTCCGCCCATTTTTACCCCATTTTGGGTCACTTCTTCCTGCTCTCCCTGCAGGCCACCCTGTCCCATTCTTTTCTCCTATTTTCCCCGTTTTCCCACCCTTTTTCCCAATATTTTCACCTTTTTCCCCCATTTATTCCCATTTTACCCATTTCCACCCTGTTTCCCCCATTTTCCCACCCATTTTTACCCATTTTCACCCCATTTTGGGTCAATCCTTCCTGCTCTCCCTGCAAGCCACCCTGTCCCATTCTTTCCTCCTATTTTCCCCGTTTTCCCACCCTTTTTCCCCATTTTTTCACTGTTTTTCCCCGTTTTTTTTCCATTTTACCCATTTCCACCCCGTTTTCGCCCATTTTCCCACTCATTTTTGCCCATTTCCACCCGTTTTGGCCCCATTTCGGGTCACTTCTTCCTGCTCTCCCTGCAGGCCACCACATAGCGCTGCGCCACGTTCAGGGGGGGCGAGTACCCGTCCGCATAGGAGGTGTCCTCAAACAGCACCGAGTAATCGTCCTGTGGCTGGGGGAGGGAACGGGTCACTTCCGGGTCACTTCCCGGAAGTCCCACCCCACTTCCGGGTCTCTTCCCGGAAGTCACGGCTCACTTCCGGGAAGTCATACCCCACTTCCGGGTCACTCCCGGAAGTCACACCCCACTTCCGGGTCACTTTTCGGAATACCGGCAGACTTTTGGTCACTTCCCGGAAGTCCCAGCCCGTTTCCGGTCACTTCCGGGTGACTTCCCGGGAGTCCCAGGCCCTTTCCGGGTCACTTCCCGGAAGTCCCCTACTATTTCCGGTTACTTCCCAAAGGCCCCATTGCACTTCCGGTCACTTCCCGGAAGTCCCAGCCCACTTCCGGGTCACTTCCCGGAAGCCCCCTACTATTTCCGGTTAATTCCCAAAGGCCCCATTGCACTTCCTGTCACTTCCCGGAAGTCAACCCACTTCCGGATCACTTCCCGGAAGTCCCAGCCCACTTCCGGGTCACTTCCCGGAAGCCCCCTCCTATTTCCGGTTACTTCCCAAAGGCCCCATTGCACTTCCGGTCACTTCCCGGAAGTACCGGCACATTTCCGGCAACTTCCGGGTCACTTCCTGAAAGTCCCCATCCTTTTCCAGGTCCCTTCCATCCATCCATCCCCATTGCCCACCATAGACCCCCATAGCCCCCCATAGACCCCCCATAGACCCCCCATAGACCCCCACACCCCCATAGACCCCCCATAGACCCCCATAGACCCCCCATAGCCCCATAGACCCCCATAGACCCCCCATAGACCCCCCATAGACCCCATAGACCCCCCCATAGACCCCCATAGACCCCCATAGACCCCCATAGACCCCCATAGACCCCCCATAGACCCCCCATAGACCCTCATAGACCCCCCATAGACCCCCCATAGACCCCCCATAGACCCCCATAGACCCCCCATAGACCCCCATAGACCCCCATAGCCCCCCATAGACCCCCCATAGACCCCATATCCCCCCATAGCCCCCCCTAGACCCACCCTCTGTGGGGGCGCGTGGATCAGGGCCCTATAGAAGCACGTGGTCTGGGGGTACAGGGCCAGCACCAGCTGCTCCCGTTGGAACAGGGCCTCGGGGTCGGTCTCGGGGTTCGTCTTCCATTGGGGCAGGGGGATGATGCGGCGGCGGCTCAGGGTGTGACGTCTATAGGGGGATATGGGGGGCTATGGGGGGTCTATGGGGGGTCTATGGGGGTCTATGGGGGTCTATGGGGGGTCTATGGGGGTCTATGGGGGTCTATGGGGGTCTATGGAGTCTATGGGGTCTATGGGGTCTATGGGGGTCTATGGGGGGGTCAATGGGGTCTATGGGGTCTATGGAGTCTATGGGGGTCTATGGGATCTATGGGGGTCTATGGGGGGGTCAATGGGCTCTATGGGGGTCTCTGGGGGTCTATGGGGGGTCATGGGGGTCTATGGGGGTCTATGGGGGTCTATGGGGGTCTATGGGGGTCTATGGGGGTCTATGGGGGGTCTATGGGGGTCTATGGGGGGTCTATGGGGGTCTATGGGGGTCTATGGGGGGTCTATGGGGGTCTATGGGGGTCTATGGGGGGTCTATGGGGGTCTATGGGGGGCTATGGGGGGTCTATGGGGGTCTATGGGGGTCTATGGGGGGTCTATGGGGGGCTATGGGGGTCTATGGGGGGCTATGGGGGTCTATGGGGGGCTATGGGGGTCTATGGGGGGTCTATGGGTCTCTATGGGGTCTCTATGGCTTTCTATGGGGGGGATATGGGGGTCTATGGGGGGTCTATGGGGGTCTATGGGGGGGATATGGGGGTCTATGGGGGGTCTATGGGGGGGATATGGGGGTCTATGGGGGTCTATGGGGGGTCTATGGGGGTCTATGGGGGTCTATGGGGCGTCTATGGGGGTCTATGGTGTGTGTATGGGGTGCTATGGGGTGTTTATGTGGGGTGTCTGGGGTGTCTATGGGGCACTATGGGGTGTCTATGGGGGTGCATAGATGGTCTATGGGGTGTCTATGGTGGTCTATGGGGCTCTATGGAGGGGTCTATGGGGCGCTATAGCACGCTATGGGGTGTCTACAGGGCTCTATAGGGGTCTATGGGGGTCTATGGGGGTCTATGGGTGTCTATGGGGTCTATGGGTCTGTATGGGGCTCTATGGGGTCTATAGGGGTCTATGGGGGCTCTATGGGATGCTATGGGGCACTTTGGGGTCTCTATGGGGTCTCTATGGGACTCTATGGAGTCTCTATGGGTCTCTATGGGGCTCTATGGGGTCTCTATGGGATCTCTATGGGGTCTATGGGGCTCTATGGGTCTCTATGTGGTCTCTATGGGATGCTATGGGGGTCTATGGGGGTCTATGGGGTCTATGGGGTGGGGGCGGGGCCGCACTCACTCTTTGCCCTCTTCATCGATGTCATCGACCTCGTACCTGGGGGGGTGGGGACACCCAAAAATGGGTTAAAAAAGGGCGATTTTGGGTCAGTTTGGGGGGGGGAGGCACAGATTTGGGGGCATTTGGGTCATTTTGGGGATTTTGGGGTGGTTTGGGGCGGATTTGGGGCATTTTGGGTGATTTTGGGGTGGTTTGGACCGGATTTGGGGCATTTTGGGTGGATTTGGGGCAAATTTGGGCAATTTTGGGGCATTTTGCTTGGATTTTGGGTGGATTTGGGGCAAATTTGGGCAATTTTGGGGCATTTTGTTCCAATTTGGGGTATTTTGCGTCACTTTCAAGTTTTGGGTGGGTTTGGGTCATTTTGGGCATTTTGGGGTGAAATTGGGGCATTTTCAGGCTTTTTGGTGGGATTTGGGGTGTTTCGGGGTAGATTTTGGGTGGGTTTGGGTCATTTTGGGGGGTTTGGGTGGATTTGGGCTGGTTTAGGGCAGTTTTGGGGCATTTTGGTCAGATTTGGGGTGAATTTGGGTGTTTTGGGGCCGTTTTGGGTCATTTTGATTGGATTTGGGTGTTTTGGGGCCGTTTTGGGTCATTTTGATTGGATTTGGGTGTTTTGGGGCCGTTTTGGGTCATTTTGGTTGGATTTGGGTGTTTTGGGGCCGTTTTGGGTCATTTTTGGTGGATTTGGGCTGAATTTGGCTGTTTTGGGGCCATTTTGGGTCAGTTTGGTCGGATTTGGGCTGGTTTGGGTCATTTTGGTCCAATTTTGGCTAAATTTTGACAGTTTTGGGTCATTTGTGTTCTTTTGGGGCTTTTTTGGGTCATTTTGGTTCAATTTGGGCTGTTTTGGGTCATTTTGATCAGATTTTGGGTGGATTTGGCCTGATTTTGGCCTGGTTTGGGTCATTTTGTGAGATTTGGGCTGATTTGGGGCTATTTTGGCTCATTTAAGTCAGATTTTGGGTGTATTTGGTCAGATTTGCGTTGTTTTGGGGCTATTTTGGGTCATTTTGCCAAATGTTGGTCATTTTGGGGTGATTTTGGCTCTTTTGAGGCCATTTTGGCTCATTTTGCTCAGATTTGGGTGTTTTGAGACTATTTTGGGTCATTTTGGGCTCTTTTGAGCCATTTTGGGGCTAATTTGAGCCATTTTCGGTCACTTTGGGCCATTTTGGGGCTATTATGGGTCATTTTGAGCCATTTTGGGTGCTTTTTGGATCATTTTGGGTCTATTTTGGGTCATATAGGGGCTATTTTAGGCCATTTTGGGGCTACTTTGCCCATTTGGGGCTATTTTGTGTCATTTTACTCAAATTTTGGCAGTTTTGGGGCTATTTTGGGTCATTTCAGTCAAATCTGGGCTGTTTTGGGGCTACTTAGGCTCATTTTGGTCCAATTTGGACTATTTTGGGTCATTTTGGGCCATTTTGGGCCATTTTGGGCTGTTTTGGGTTTATTTTGGGCCAATTTGGGGCCATCTTGGGGCATTTTGGGTGTATTTTGGGTCATTTTGGGCCATTTTGGGCTGTTTTGGGTTTATTTTGGGCCAATTTGGGGCCATCTTGGGGCATTTTGGGTGTATTTTGGGTCATTTTGGGCCATTTTGGGCTGTTTTGGGTTTATTTTGGGCCAATTTGGGGCCATCTTGGGGCATTTTGGGTGTATTTTGGGTCATTTTGGGGCTATTTTGGTCGAATTTGGGGCTATTTTGGCTCATTTTGTGCCATTTTGGGTGTATTCTGGGTCATTTAGGGGCTACTTCAAGCCATTTTGGGGCATTTTTGCCATTTTGTAGCTATTTTAACCCATTTCTGGTCATTTGGGGGCTATTTCAGGCCATTTTGTGGCTATTTTGAGCCATTTTGGGCCATTTTGGGGCTATTTTGAGCCATTTTGGGTCATTTTATTCCATTTTGGGGCTATTTTGGGCCATTTTATTCCATTTGGGGGCTATTCAGGGCAATTTGGGGCTATTTTGGGCCATTTTACGCGATTTTGGGGCTATTTTGGGCCATTTTACGCGATTTTGGGGCTATTTTGGGCCATTCTACGCGATTTTGGGGCTATTTTGGGCCATTCTACGCGATTTTGGGGCTATTTTGGGCCACTTTACGCGATTTTGGGGCTATTCTGGGCCATTTTACGCGATTTTGGGGCTATTTGGGGCCATTTTACACGATTTTGGGGCTATTTTGGGCCATTTTGGGTGTATTTTGGGCCATTTTGGGTGTATTTTGTGCCATTTGGGGTGTATATGCTGGTGTGCGGGCCTCACTTGTTGGCAGCATGGCTGTAGCTCACCACCTCGGCCAGGATCCATTGCTCGTCCCCCTCCAGGGCTGCTTTGGGGCTGTTTTGGGTCATTTTGGGTGTATTTTGGGTCATTTTGGGGCGATTTGCAGCCATTTTGGGTCATTTTAGGTCATTTTTGCCATTTTGGTTCTATTTTGAACCATTTCAGGGCTATTTTGCGCCATTTTGGGGCTATTTTGGGTCATTTTGTGCCATTTTGGGTGTATTCTGGGTCATTTAGGGGCTATTTCAGGCCATTTTGGGGCTATTTTGAGCCATTTTGGCTCATTTTGGGCCATTTTGTAGCTATTTTAACCCATTTCTGGTCATTTTGGGGCTATTTCAGGGCATTTGGGGGCTATTTTGGCTCATTTTGGGGCTATTTTGAGCCATTTTGGGTCATTTTGGGCCATTTTATTCCATTTTGGGGCTATTTTGGGCCATTTTGGGGCTACTTTGGCTCATTTTGGGTCTATTTTGTGCCATTTGGGGTGTATATGCTGGGCTGCAGCACTCACTTGTTGGCAGCATGGCTGTAGCTCACCACCTCGGCCAGGATCCATTGCTCGTCCCCCTCCAGGGCTGCTCTGGGGCTGTTTTGGGGCATTTTGGGCCATTTTGGGTCATTTTTGGCCATTTTCTGGGTATTTTGGGTCATTTGGGGCATTTTTGGGGCATTTTGGGCCCTTTTGAGTGTATTTTGGGTCATTTTGGGGCTATTTTGAGCCATTTTGGGTCATTTTGGGCCATTTTAGGCCATTTGGGGGCTATTTTGGGCCATTTTGGGTCGTTTTGGGGCTATTTTGGGCCATTTTACACGATTTTGGGGCTATTTTGGGCCATTTTACGCGATTTTGGGGCTATTCTGGGCAATTTGGGGCTATTTTGGGCCATTTTACATGATTTTGGGGCTATTTTGGCTCATTTTGGGGCTATTTTGGGCCATTTGGGGTCATTTTGGGCCATTTTGGGCTATTTGGGGCCATTTTGGGGCTATTTTGAGCCATTTTGGGTCATTTTGGGCCATTTTAGTCCATTTTGGGGCTATTTTGGGCCATTTTGGGTGTATTTTGTGCCATTTGGGCTGTATATGCTGGTGTGGTGCCCTCACTTGTTGGCAGCATGGCTGTAGCTCACCACCTCGGCCAGGATCCATTGCTCGTCCCCCTCCAGGCCTGCTCTGGGGCTGTTTTGGGTCATTTTGGGTGTATTTTGGGTCAATTTGGGGCCATTTTGGGTCATTTTAGGTCATTTTTGCCATTTTGGTTCTATTTTGAACCATTTCGGGGCTATTTTGCGCCATTTTGGGGCTATTTTGGGTCATTTTGTGCCATTTTGGGTGTATTCTGGGTCATTTAAGGGCTATTTCAGGCCATTTGGGGGCTATTTTGGGCCATTTTGGGGCTATTTTGGCTCATTTTGGGTGTATTTTGTGCCATTTGGGGTGTATATGGGTCATTTAAGGGCTATTTCAGGCCATTTTGGGGCTATTTTGGGCCATTTGGGGTGTATTTTGTGCCATTTGGGGTGTATATTATGGGCCGCAGCACTCACTTGTTGGCAGCATGGCTGTAGCTCACCACCTCGGCCAGGATCCATTGCTCGTCCCCCTCCAGGGCCTTCACCCTCGCCGCCACCTTGTCCCCAGGCTTGGCCACGTAGTCCCCGGCGGCCGGGACGGCGCCGCAGAGCGGGGGGGGCCTGGGAAGAGCCAAAAACCCCGGATTTACACCCAAAAACCAGGGATTTACACCCAAAAACAGGGATTTACACCCAAAAACAGGGATTTACACCCAAAAACAGGGATTTACACCCAAAAACAGGGATTTACACCCAAAAACCAGGGATTTACACCCAAAATTCACAATTCCCACCCAAAATCCCGGATTTACACCGAAAAAACATGAATTTCCACCCAAAATCCAGGCATTTCCACCCAAAAAACATGGATTTCCAAAAAACCACAAATTTCCATCCAAAATCCCCAGATTTACACCCGAAATCCATGGATTCCCACCCAAAATCCAGGGTTTTTCACCCCCAAACCCACTGACCCCCCAACCCCACCCCCAACCCCCTTAACCCCTCCCCAACCCCCTTAACCCCTCCCCAACCCCCTTAACCCCTCCCCAACCCCCTTAACCCCTCCCCAACCCCCTTAACCCCACCCCCAACCCCCTTAACCCCTCCCCAACCCCCTTAACCCCGCCCCCAACCCCCTTAACCCCGCCCCCAACCCCCTTAACCCCGCCCCAACCCCCTTAACCCCTCCCCAACCCCCTTAACCCCACCCCCAACCCCCTTAACCCCGCCCCCAACCCCCTTAACCCCTCCCCAACCCCCTTAACCCCGCCCCCAACCCCCTTAACCCCTACCCCCTTAACCCCACCCCCAACCCCCTTAACCCCCAACCCCCCCCAACCCCCTTAACCCCGCCCCCCACCCCAACCCCGCCCCAACCCCCTTAACCCCACCCCAACCCCCTTAACCCCGCCCCCAACCCCCTTAACCCCGCCCCCAACCCCCTTAACCCCACCACCCCTTAACCCCGCCCCCACCCCCTTAACCCCGCCCCCAGCCCCTTAACCCCACCCCCCCTTAACCCCGCCCCCAACCCCCTTAACCCCGCCCCCCATTCCCTTAACCCCCACCCCTTAACCCTGCTTCCAACCCCCTTAACCCCGCCCCCAACCCCCTTAACCCCGCCCCCCCCGCATTAACCCCGCCCCCCAAGCCTTTAGCCCCGCCCCCTGTCCCATGATGCCTCACTTCTCCCCCGGCTTCCCGATCCAGAGGGGCAGGGTCATGGCCGACTGCTGCAGCAGGGTCATGAGCACCCCCCTGCGCATGGTCTTGCGGGGGGGCTCCGCCTCCGAGTAGATGCCAGCGATCTTGGCCGCTTCCAATGGGGAAACGGGGGGGGAATGGGGGTTAATGGGGCATAATGGGGGGGTAATGGGGCATAATGAGTAATGGGAGTAATGGGGGGTAATGGGGGTAATGGGGGGTAATGGGGCATAATGGGTAATGGGGGGTAATGGGAGGCTCCGCCTCCGAGTAGATCCCAGCGATCTTGGCCGCTTCCAATGGGGAAACGGGGGGGGAATGGGGGTTAATGGGGTATAATGGGGGGTAATGGGGTAATGGGTTATGGGGGGTAATGGGTAATGGGGGGTAATGGGGCATAATGGGTAATGGGGGGGAATGAGGGGGAATGGGGGGGAATGGGAGGCTCCGCCTCCGAGTAGATCCCAGCCATCTTGGCCGCTTCCAATGGGGAAACGGGGGGGGAAGGGGGGTAATGGGGGATAATGGGGGGTAATGGGGGGGAATGGGGGGAATGGGGCATAATGGGGGGGAATGGGGGGGAATGGGTAATGGGGGGTAATGGGGGGGAATGGGGGGATAACGATGGGGTACCAATGGGGTACCAATGGGGTACCAATGGGGTACCAAGGGGGTACCAATGAGATACCAATGGGGTACGAATGGGATAATAATGGGGTACCAATGGGATACCAATGGGGTATCAATGGGGTATCAATGGGATACCAATGGGGTACAATGGGGTACAATGGAGTATCAATGGGATACCAATGGGACACAATGGGGTACAATGGGGTACAATGGGGTACAATGGGATAACAATGGGGTGGTAATGGGGTACAATGGGGTACAATGGGGTACAATGGGGTACAATGGGGTGTTAATGGGGTGGGTACCGATGCGTCGCTCCTCCAGCAGGGATTTGATCTCGGCGATCTTGTCCAGGGCCTTGCGGAGGATGCTGGGAAAACAGGGGTATTATGGGATATATGGGGGTATTATGGGATATATGGGGGTATTATGGGATATAGGGGGGGTATTATGGGATATAGGGGGGTATTATGGGATATAGGGGGGTATTATGGGATATAGGGGGGGTATTATGGGATATAGGGGGGTATTATGGGATATAGGGGGGATATTATGGGATATAGGGGGGGTATTATGGGATATGGGGGGGTGTATTATGGGATATAGGGGGGTATTATGGGATATAGGGGGGATTATGGGATATAGGGAGGTATTATGGGATATGGGGGTATTATGGGATATGGGGGGGTATTATGGGATATGGGGGGTATTATGGGATATAGGGGGGGTATTATGGGATATATGGGGGGTATTATGGGATATAGGGGGGTATTATGGGATATGGGGGTATTATGGGATATAGGGGGGGTATTATGGGATAGGGGGTATTATGGGATATATGGGGGGTATTATGGGATATAGGGGGGTATTATGGGATATAGGGGGGTATTATGGGATATAGGAGGGGTATTATGGGATATAGGGGGAAATTATGGGATATATGGGGGTATTATGGGATGTGGGGTATTATGGGATGGGATATGGGGGGGTATTATGGGATATGGGGGTATTATGGGATATAGGAGGAGTATTATGGGATATAGGAGGGGTATTATGGGATATAGGGAGATATTATGGGATATAGGGGGGTATTATGAGATATAGGGGGGTATTATGGGATATAGGAGGGGTATTATGGGATATAGGGGGGTATTATGGGATATATGGGGGTATTATGGGATATGGGGGGGTATTATGGGATATGGGGGGTATTATGGGATATGGGGGGTATTATGGGATATAGGAGGGGTATTATGGATATAGGGGGGTATTATGGGATATATGGGGGTATTATGGGATATGGGGGGGTATTATGGGATATGGGGGGGTATTATCGGATATGGGGGGGTATTATGGGATATAGGAGGGGTATTATGGGATATAGGGGGGTATTATGGGATATATGGGGGTATTATGGGATATGGGGGGGTATTATGGGATATAGGGGATATGGATAGGGGGGTATTATGGGATATAGGGGTATTATGGGATATATGGGGGGTATTATGGGATATAGGGGGGTATTATGGGATATAGGGGGGTATTATGGGATATAGGAGGGGTATTATGGGATATAGGGGGGTATTATGGGATATATGGGGGTATTATGGGATATAGGGGGGTATTATGGGATATAGGGGAGTATTATGGGATATAGGGGAGTATTATGGGATATAGGGGGGGTATTATGGAATATGGGGGATATGGGGGGATATTATGGGATAGAGGGGAGAATGATGGGATAGAGGGGATATGGGGGGGTATTATGGGAATAGAAGGGGGAAAAATGGGGGGGAATGATGGGATATGGGGAATATAAGGGGGAAAAAGGGGGATATGGGGGGAAATGATGGGATATGGGGGGGAAAAGGGGATATGGGGGGATATAAGTGGGACAAACAGGGATAAAGTGATTTTGGGTGGAAAAGGGGGGATTTTGGGGGAAAAAATGGGATTTTTAGGGTAAAAATGGGATTTAGGTGAGAAAAGAGATTTTGGGTGGTGAAAAGGGGATTTTGGGTTAAAAAAAGGGATTTGGGGGGAAAAATTGGGTTTTTTGGGGGAAAATGGTGTTTTGGGGGGGAAAAATGGGATTTTGGGTGGGAAAAAGGGGATTTGGGTGGGAGAAGGGGGATTTTGGGGAGGAAAAATGGGGTTTTTCAGGGAAAAATGCAATTTTGGGGGGAAAAAAGGGATTTTGGGTGGAAGAAAGTTTTTTTTTTAGGGGGAAAATGGGATTTGGGTGGGAAAAGGAGGAATTTTTGGGGGGAAAGATGGAATTTTGGGTGGGAAAAAGGGAATTTTGGGTAGGAAAATGGGATTTTGAGGGCAAAAATGGGATTTAGGTGGGAAAAGGAGGGATTTTGGGTGGGAAAAATGGAATTTTGGGCCAGAAAAAGGGATTTTGGGTGAGAAAAAGGGGTTTTTAAGGGGAAAAAGGGATTGGGGTGGGAAAAGGAGGGATTTTGGGTGGGAAAACGGGGATTTTGGGCCAAAAAAAGGGATTTCGGGTGGGAAAAAGGGGTTTTTGGGGGGTAAAAAGGATTGGGGTGGGAAAAGGAGGGATTTTGGGTGGGAAAATGGGGATTTTGGGCCAAAAAAAGGGATTTTGGGTGGGAAAAAGGGGTTTTAGGGGGAAAAAGGGATTGGGGAGGGAAAAGGAGGGATTTTGGGTGGGAAAGGGGGGATTTGGGGGGGATTTTGGGTGGAAAAAGGGGGATTTTGGCTCCAGGCCCTCACTTGCACTCGGCCTCTGCATCCGCCTTGGCTGTGGTGTAAAGGCCCCGCAGCTTGGTCCGGTAATAGGGGGAAACTGGGGGGAAAAAGGGGGATTTTGGGTCATTTTGGGTTATTTTGGCTCATTTTGGGCTTATTTTGGGTCATTTTGGGGTATTTTGGGTCATTTTGGGGTATTTTGGGTCATTTTCGGGGGGGGTTGGGGCGTTTGAGGTGTTTTCAAGGTGCTTTTTTGGGTGCATTTAAGGCGATTTTGGGGCTTTCACGTTGGCTTCGAGGAGATTTAAGGCGATTTCCACCGGTTATGGGGGGGTTTAAGGCGATTTTGGGTCGTTTTAAGGTGGTTTTGGGGGTTTAATGGGGTTTTGGGTTCAATTTGGGCCAGTTTATGGTGAATTTAGAGCGTTTTGGGTCATTTTAAGGTGGTTTTGGGGGGTTTAAGGAGGTTTTCGTTTCATTTTGGGCCGGTTTAAAGTGAATTTTGGGCGTTTTGGGCCGTTTTAAGGCGGTTTTGGGAGCTTTAAGTGGGTTCCAGGTTCATTTTGGGTCGGTTTAAGGTGAATTTAGAGCGTTTTGGGTCGTTTTAAGGTGGTTTCGGGTTCATTTTGGGCCACTTTAAGGGAAATTTAGGGCATTTTGGGCCGTTTTAAGGCGTTTTGGGGTGTTTAAGGTGGTTTTGGGTTCATTTAGGGCTGTTTCAAAGTGAATTTAGGGCAATTTGGGTCATTTTAAGGTGGTTTGGGGACTTTAAGGGGGTTTTAGGTTCATTTTGGGCCTGTTTAAGGTGAATTTAGGGCATTTTGGGTCATTTTAAAGGGGTTTTGGGGGGGTTAAGGTGATACCTGGCTCATTTTGGGCCGGTTTGAGGTGAATTTAGGGAGTTTTGGGTCATTTTAAGGTGGTTTTGGGCTGGTTGAAGTGGGTTCCGGGTTCATTTTGGGCCTGTTTAAGGTGAATTTAGGGTGTTTTGTGTCGTTTTAAGGTGGTTTTGGGGGTTTAAGGTTCATTTTGGGCCAGTTTAAGGTGAATTTAGAGCGTTTTGGGTCATTTTAAGGTGGTTTTGGAGGCTTAAGGTAGTTTTGGGTTAATTTTGGCCCGCTTTAAGGTGAATTTAGTGCGGTTTGGGTCATTTTAAGGTGGTTTGGGGGGTTTAAGGTGGATTCTGGCTCATTTTGAGGTGGCTTAAGGCGAATTTGGGTGTTTTGGAGCTATTTTAGGCACTTTTGAGGGTTTTAAGGGAGTTTTGGTTCACTTTGGGCCAGTTTAAGGTGAATTTAGGGCTTTTTGTGTCGTTTTAAGGCGGTTTGGAGGAGTTTAAGGTGGTTTTGGTTCACTTTGGCCCGGTTTAAGGTGAATTTAGAGCGTTTTTGGGTCACTTTAAGATGGTTTGGGGGGGTTTATGGGGGTTTCCGATTCATTTTGTGCCGTTTTAAGGCGATTTTAGGGCGGTTTTTGGGTCACCCCTTCCCTTATCCCCCCCCCAACCGTTCCCCCCTCACTTTTATTCTCCGTCTGCATCCTCTCGTGTGTCTTCTGGATGTTGAGGAGGTTGTGCTCGCTTCGGGACCGCTCCTCCTGCGGCCATAGGGCACAGAGAGACAGCGGGCAAACGCATCGGGAAAAGAAGGGCAAAAACGGGCGAAAACGGGGCAAAAACGGGCAAAAACGGGACAAAAACGCCGTTCAAACGCCCCTTTACCTGCGTCTGTTTGATGAGCTGGTGCAGCTCCCCCAGCAGCTCCGCGATGCGGGAGTCGGCCGAGACCAGCGCCATTGAAATCAATGGGGCAAGATGGCGGCCGCGCTGAGGTAAAGGAGGGGGAATCCAAGATGGCGGCGGCGGCGGCGGCGGTGTCTTCTTCCTCAGCCCGCTTCCGGCCTGCGCCGCCCTGGCCCAGCCCCCGCCGCGCTGCTATTGGTTGGGAGCCGGCGCTCTGGGCTCTCATTGGTTGGAGGGGGAAAGAGCGGTTGGGATTGGGTGGTGGGGTGAAGAGGAGGGGATTGAAGGGGTCAGGTGGGGGAGCGGGGTCATGTGATGGCGGTCATGTGACCCCGCAGCGATGGCGGACGACGAGGAGGAGCCGCTGCTGCCGCCGGGTCAGGCACGAACCCTGCCCCATAGGGACCCATAGAGACCCATAGAGACCCCATAGAGACCCCATAGGGACCCATAGAAACCCATAGAAACCCATAGAGACCCATAGAGAGACCACAGAGACCCATAGAGAGCCCATAGAGACGCATGGGGACCCATACAGACCCATAGAACCCCATAGAGACCCATATGGACCCATAGAGAGACCATAGAGACCCACAGAGACCGCATACAGACCTATAGGGCCCCATAGAGACCCTATAGAAACCCATAGAGCCCCATAAGCAGCCCCATTTCTCCCTTCTCTCCCCACAGCGGAGCCCCCCCCGGACCCCCCAAGTGCCCCATGGAGGAATGGAGCCGCCTTCTGGTGAGGAGCCTGCCCCATAGATCCCACCCCATAGATCCCTGCCCCATAGACCCTGTGCCATATGAACCCAGCCCCATAGACCCCAGCTCCATTGATCCAGCTCCATTGATACCTGACCCATAGCTTCCACCCCATAGACCCCATCCACATAAATCCCTGCCCCATAGATCCCACCCCTTAGATACAGCCTCATAGATCCAGCCCCATAGATCCCAGCCCATAGACCTCAGCCCCATAGCTCCCACCCCATAGATCTGCCGCATAGCTCCCACCCCATAGATCTCACCTCATAGCTCCCCCCCATAGCTCCCGCCCCATAGACCCCAGCCCCATAGATCCTGCCCCATAGATCCCCCCCCAAGTTCCCACCCCCACCTGCCCCATAGCTCCCACCCCATAGCTCCCACCCCATAGCTCCAACCCCATAGCTCCCACCCCATAGATCTGCTCCATAGCTCCCACCCCATAGATCCCAGCCCCATAGATCCTGCCCCATAGCTCCCACCCCATGGCTCCCCCCATAGATCTGCCCCATAGACCCCAGCCCCATAGCTCCTGCCCCACAGCTCCTGTCCCCGCAGGCTCCTGGGGCTCTGTAACAACCTCCCCTATGTGCTGATGCTGAGCGCGGCGCGGGACATCGTGGAGCTCCAGCAGGGGGCGCCGGTGAGGCCACGCCCCCTGCCCCACATCCTGCCCCATAGCGCCCCATAACCTGCCCCATAACCTGCCCTATAGCACACTATAACCTGCCCTATAGCAGCCCATAATGTGCCCCATAACCTGCCCCATAGCACCCCATAACCTGCCCCATAGCACCCCATAACCTGCCCTATAGCACCCCATAGCGCCCCGTAACCTGCCCCACAGCGCCCCATAACCTGCCTCATAGTGCCCCCATCCTATCCCACAGCGCCCCATAACCTGCACTATAGCACACCATAACCTGCCTTATAGCAGCCTATAATGTGCCCCATAGCACCCCATGACCTGCCCTATAGTCCCCCATAACCTGCCCTATAGTCCCCCATAATCTGCCCTATAGCACAACATAACCTGCCTTATAGCAGCCCATAATGTGCCCCATAGCGGCCCATAACCTGCCCTATAGCACCCCATAGCACCCCATAACGTGCCCCATAGTGCCCCATAACCTGCCCCACATCTCCCCATAGGTGCCCCATAGCAACAGCTCCCGCTATGACTGCAACCAGCTCTCGACAGGGGTAAGGGGAGGGGCTTAAAGGGGGCGGGGCCAATGGGGGGGTTCTATGGGGCTGCCCCATAAGTGGGTGGGTTTGTGGGGGGGGCAATGTGGGGCTGAGGGCACTCTATGGGGCTGGTCCCATATCTATGGGTCCCCTTCACCTGTGTGTGTGCCCCACATCTATGGGTCAGCTCCACATCTATGTGTCCCCATTGACCTCTATGGGGCCCCATTGATCTCTATGGGTCCAATTGATGTCTATGGACCCCATTGATCTCTATGGCCCCCATAGATCTCTATGGACCCCATTAATCTCTATGGGCCCCATTAATCTCTATGGCTCCCATTGATCTCTATGGCCCCCATTGATCTCTATGGCCCCCATTGATCTCCATGGCCCCCATTGATCTCCATGGGCCCCATTGATCTCCATGGGCCCCATTGATCTCCATGGGCCCCATTGATCTCTATAGCCCCCATTAATCTCTATGGCCCCCATTGATCTCTATGCCCCCCATTCATCTCTATGTGCCCCATTCATCTCTATGCGCCCCATTCATCTCCATGGCCCCCATTGATCTCTATGGGTCCCATTCATCTCTATGGCCCCCATTCATCTCTATGGCCCCCATTGATCTCTATGGCCCCCATTGATCTCTATGGGCCCCATTGATCTCTATGGGCCCCATTCATCTCTATGCGCCCCATTCATCTCTATGCGCCCCATTCATCTCTATGAGCCCCATTCATCTCTATGGCCCCCATTGATCTCTATGGCCCCCATTGATCTCTATGGGCCCCATTGATCTCTATGGCCCCCATTGATCTCTATGGCCCCCATTGATCTCCATGGGCCCCATTGATCTCCATGGGCCCCATTGATCTCTATGGCCCCCATTGATCTCTATGGCCCCCATTGATCTCTATGGCCCCCATTGATCTCTATGCGCCCCATTCATCTCTATGGCCCCCATTGATCTCTATGGCCCCCACTGATCTCTATGGGTCCCTGCCCCACACATGTGGGGCCCAGGCCGTGCTCCTCGCCGACGTCCTCCCCTCGCTGCTCATGAAGCTCCTGGCGCCGCTCGCACCCCATTGGCTGAGCTATGAGTAGGGGCGGGGCCTAAAGGGGGCGGGGATTAAAGGGGGTGGATCTATGGGTTGGGTTATGGGGCTATGGGTTCTGCTATGGGGCAGGCTATGGGGGTGCTTATGGGTCTCTATGGGGCTGGTTATGAGTGTCTATGGGGCCGGTTATGGGTCTCTATGGGGCCGGTTATGGGTCTCTATGGGGCTGGTTATTGGTCTCTATGTGGCTGGTTATGGGTCTCTATGGGGGTCATTATGGGTCTCTATGGGGCTGGTTATGGGTCCCTATGGGGGTGGTTATGGGTCTCTATGGGCCGGTTATGGGTCTCTATGGGGGTGGTTATGGGTCTCTATGGGGCCGGTTATGGGGCTCAATGGGAGGGGCATCACTTGGGGGTGGGGGTCTATGGAGGGGGCGTGGCTTGCATCACATGACATCACTTTATGGGCGTGGCATAAAACATCTCAGTCTATGGGCGGGGCTTCTGTGTCCAGTGACGTCACCGGGAGGGGGCGGGGCTCGCCCTGACCCCGCCCCCTCCCCCCCATTGCAGGGCCCGGGTGGGCGGGGCCGCGCTCCTGGCGTGGGCGGGGTCAGCGCTGGTGCTGACTGCGAGGGGGCCGGCGCAGGGATTGGCTGGTGAGGGGGGGGGGGGCGGGGTCACATGGGGGGGGTCACGTGGGGGGGTATGGGGGGGTCACATGGGGGTCTCATGTAGGGGGGTCACATGGGGGGTATTGGGGGGTCATGTGGGGGGGTAGGTGGGGGGGTCACGTGGGGGGTATATTGGGGGTGTCACATGGGGGGTACATGAGGGGATCACGTGGGGGGGTCATGTAGGGGGGTCACGTGGGGGGTTATATGGGGGGTCACATGGGTGGTATTGGGGGGTCACATGGGGGGGTAGGTGGGGGGATCACGGGAGGGGGGGGGTCACGTTGGGGGGTATATTGGGGGTGTCACATGGGGGGTACATGAGGGGATCACGTGGGGGGGTCATGTGAGGGGGGGTCACATGGGGGGGTCATGTGAGGGGGGTATGTGCGGGGTCACGTGGGGGGGTTATTTTGGGGGGGTCACGTGGGGGGATCACTTGGGGGGTTATCAGGGGTGGTCACATGGGGGGGTATGGGGGTCTCACGTGGGGAGGTCACGTGGGGGGGTCACGTGGAGGGGTTATGTGGGGTCACATGGGGGGTAGGGGTCACGGGGGGTCATGTAGGGTCATGTGGGGTCACGTGTGGGGCAATGTGTGGGGCAGGGGTCAAATGGGGTCAAAAGTGGGGCAGGGATAACATATGGGGGTGGGGTCACGTGGGGGCTTGGGGTCACATGGGGGAGGTACATGGGGGGGTCACATGGGGAGCATGGGTCACATGGGGGGTAGGGGTCACATGGGGATAGGGGCCACTTATGGGGTCTGATAGGGTCACATGGGGGGGTAGGGGTCATGTGTGGGGCAGAGTTCACTTGGGGGTCAGGGGTCACGTGTGGGGCAGGGGTCATGTGTGGGGTTGGAGTCACGTGGGGGGGCAGGGGTCACGTGGGTCACTCGTAGGGTCACGTGGGGTCAGACGGGCAACAGGGGTCACATGGGGGTGCATGGGTCACGTGGGGGGCAGAGGTCACGTGGGGGCTGTGATCACGTGACCCCCCCCCCTTCCCCTTTGCAGCCGTCTCATTGGCCAGCGCCGCCTCGGGGCTGGGGGAGGTGACGCTGCTGACGCTGGCGGCCGCCTACCCCACGTGAGAGGGGCGGGGTCACGTGAAGGGGGGGGCGTGGCCATGGGAGGGGGCGGGGTTCAAGGGGCTCGGGGCGGTGCTATGGGGTAGAATGGGATCCTATGGGGTGGGGAGGGGGTATGGGGTTCTATGGGGTCTCTATGGGTTTCTATGGGGTCTCTAAGGGTCTCTATGGGTCTCTATGGGGTCTCTATGGGTCTCTATGGGTCTCTATGCGTCTCTATGGGTCTCTATGGGGTCTCTATGGGGTCTCTATGCGTCTCTATGGGGTCTCTATGGGGTCTCTATGCGTCTCTATGGGGTCTCTATGGGGTCTCTATGGGGTCTCTATGGGTCTCTATGGGTCTCTATGGGTCTCTATGGGGTCTCTATGGTGTCTCTATGGGTCTCTATGGGTCTCTATGGGGTCTCTATGGTTCCCTATGGGGTCTCTATGGGTCTCTATGGGTCTCTATGGGGTCTCTATGGGGTCTCTGTGGTGTCTCTATGGGTCTCTATGGGTCTCTATGGGGTCTCTATGGTGTCTCTATGGGTCTCTATGGGTCTCTATGGGTCCCTATGGGTCTCTATGGGTCTCTATGGGTCTCTATGGGTCCCTATGGGTCTCTATGGGGGTCCCCTCCCTGTGTGACCGTGGCGCCCCCTGCTGCAGGGGAGGTCTCTGGGGCTGGGCCTCGGGCACGGGCGCCGCCGGGCTCTGGGGGGCGCTGTGGGGGGGGGCGGGGCTGGGGGCGGGGCTTGGCCTCTCCCGCGCCCTCCTCCCCGCGGCCGCGCTGCCAATGGGAACCGCGCTCAGGTGAGGGGCGGGGCCAAGGGGGGGGGGAGGGAGGGAGGAGCCAATGGGAGGAGAGGGGAGGGGCTTGGGGGAGCAGCCAATGGAGGTAAAGGGGCGGGGTTTAGGAGGGGAGGGGTTAAGGGAATGGGAGAGGCCAATGGGGTGAGAGGGGGCAGGGCTTGGGGGAGGTATCAATAAAGGGGAGGGGCTTGGAGGGAGGGGTCAATGGGGGATAAAGGGGCGGGGTTTAGGAGGGGAGGGGAAGGGAATGGGAGCAGCCAATGGGGTGAGAGGGGGCGGGGCTTGGAGGGAGTTGTTGGGGCTTGGGGGAATGGGGGACAAGGGGGTGGAGCTTGGGTGGAGCAACCAATGGGGGTAAAGGGGCGGGGTTTAGGAGGGGAGGGGGTAAGGGAATGAGAGCAACCAATGGGGTGAGAGAGGGCGGAACTTGGGGGGTGAAGGGAAGGGAGGAGCCAATGGGGGTGAGGGGGCGGGGCTTAGGAGGGGAGGGGTAAGAGAATGGGCACAGCCAATGGGGTGAGAGGGGGCGGGGTTGAGGAGAGCAGGGATGAGGCTATGGGGCAGGGCTATGGGGCTCTATGTGTCCCTATGGGTCCCTATGGGTCTCTATGGGGATCTATGTGTCCCTATGTGTCCCTATGGGTCTCTATGGGACCCTATGGGTCTCTATGGGGATCTATGTGTCCCTATGGGTCTCTATGGGTCCCTATGGGTCTCTATGGGTCCCTATGGGTCTCTATGGGTCCCTATGGGGTCTCTATGGGTCTCTATGGGGTCCCTATGGGTCTCTATGGGGCCGACCCCCCCCATGGCCCCTCCCCCCCCAATCTCCCCCCAGTTTCTTCTTCCTCCTCCTGCCCCCCCCCCGCCCCACGGAGCCGCCCCCCCCCGCCGCGGGGGTCACGTGGGGGCAGCGCTGGGGCGTGGTCAAGGTGAGGGGGCGGGGCTAAAGAGGGGAGGGGGGGGCGGGGCTTCAAGGAAAGGGCCCTGGGCTCTGATTGGCTCCTCCTCTCCTCCCCCCCCCAGGGGGCCCTGCCGGACGCGATCCCATTGGCTGTCGTTTACTTCGCCGAGTACTTCATTAACCAGGGGGTGGTGAGTGGGGGCGGGGCTATGGGGCAGCTATGGGGCAGGGGGTGCTATGGGGCAGCTATGGGGTAGCTATGGGGCTGGGGGCTATGGGGCAGCTATGGGGCTGGGGGTGCTATGGGGTAGCTATGGGGCAGCTATGGGGCTGGGGGGCTATGGGGGGCTATGGGGCAGCTATGGGTGATGCTATGGGGCAGCTATGGGGCAGCTATGGGGCAGCTATGGGCTGGGGGGCTATGGGGCAGCTATGGGGCAGCTATGGGGCAGCTATGGGGCTGGGGGGGCTATGGGGGGCTATGGGGCAGCTATGGGGCAGCTATGGGGCAGCTATGGGGCAGCTATGGGGCAGCTATGGGGCTGGGGGGGCTATGGGGCAGCTATGGGGCAGCTATGGGGCTGGGGGGGCTATGGGGCAGCTATGGGGCTGGGGGGGCTATGGGGCAGCTATGGGGCAGCTATGGGGCAGCTATGGGGCTGGGGGGCTATGGGGCAGCTATGGGGCAGCTATGGGGCAGCTATGGGGCAGCTATGGGGCTGGGGGGCTATGGGGCAGCTATGGGGCGGCTATGGGGCAGCTATGGGGCAGGGGGAGCTATGGGGCAGCTATGGGGCTGGGGGGCTATGGGGCAGCTATGGGGCAGCTATGGGGCAGCTATGGGGCTCGGGGTGCTATGGGGCAGCTATGGGGCAGCTATGGGGCAGGGGGGCAGCTATGGGGCAGCTATGGGGCAGCTATGGGGCAGGGGGTGCTATGGGGCAGCTATGGGGCAGCTATGGGGCTGGGGGTGCTATGGGGTAGCTATGGGGCAGCTATGGGGCGGGGGGTGGCTATGGGGCAGCTATGGAGTAGGGAGGACTATGGGTCATCTATGGGGCAGAGGGGGGCTATGGGGCATCTATTGGGCAATTATGGGGTAGGGAGGGCTATGGGGCCGCTATGGGGTAGGGGTTGCTATGGGATATCTATGGGTAGGGTTTTTATGGGGTGCCTATGGGGTAGGGGTTACTATGGGGCAGCTATGGGGCAGGGGGTGCTATAGGGTGACTATGGGGTTGGAGGACTATGGGGCTGTTATGGTGCAGGGGTTGCTATGGGCCACCTATAGGGCAGCTGTGGGGCTGGGCAGCTATGGGGCAGGGGTTGGTTCTATGGGGCTGGTGCCATAGGGCTGGGATGAGCGCTATAGGGTGAGTTCTATGGGTCCCTATGGTCTCTATGGGGTCCCTATGGGTCCCTATGGGTCTCTATGGGTCCCACACATTGCTCTCCCCACAGCTGGACCTCTTGTACTTCCCCACATCCTCCCTGACCCACAACGACCAGTACCGGTGGTGAGCCCCATAGCGCGTGTGGGATCTATGGGCCTCTATGGGGTCTCTATGGGGTCTCTATGGGGTCTCTATGGGTCTCTATGAGGTCTCTATGGGGTCTCTATGGGGTCTCTATGGGTCTCTATGGGGTCTCTATGGGGTCTTTATGGGGTCTTTATGGTGTCTCTATGGGGTCTCTATGGGTCTCTATGGGTCTCTATGAGGTCTCTATGGGGCCTCTATGGGTCTCTATGGGGTCTCTATGGGTCTCTATGGGTCTCTATGGGTCTCTATGGGGTCCCTATGGGTCTCTATGGGGTCTCTATGGGTCTCTATGGGTCTCTATGGGGTCTCTATGGGTCTCTATGGGGTCCCTATGGGTCTCTATGGAGTCTCTATGGGTCTCTATGGGTCTCTATGGGTCCCTATGGGTCCCAATGTGTCTCTATGGGGCTGCCCCACCTCTCTCCCCACACCTTACCAATCGGGCTCTCCGCCACCCGCTCCTGCATCCGCAGCCTCGTCCTGCACCAGAATGGGCCATAGGGCCCCAGCCGACCCACACTTGGGGGGCAGCCCCATAAGTGACCCCCTCCAGACCCATAAGTGACCCCCCCAGACCCATAAGTGACCCCCCCCAGCCCCATAAGTGACCCCCTCCCAGCCCCATAAGTGACCCTCTCCCAGCTCCATAGAGCGCCCCATAACCACAGCCCCATAGCCCACTCCTGACCCACACTTGGGGGGCAGCCCCATTAGTGCTGCCCTCTCTACCCTATAGATCACTGCTGACCCCTAGGTGACATTCTCAGACCCACATATGTGGGGCTGCCCCATAGATCTCCCCACAAACACTCTATAAACCACTCCCTACCCACACTTGGGGGGCAGCCCCATAAGTGACCCCCTCCCAGCCCCATAGAGCGCCCCACAACCCCAGCCCCATAACCCACTCTTGACCGACACTTGGGGGGCAGCCCCATAAGTACCCCCCTCCCAGCCCCATAAGTGACTCCCCCCCAGCCCCATAGAAGTGCCCCATAAGTGCCCCTCAGCCCCATAAGTACCCCCATAAGTGACTCCTCCAGCCCCATAAGTGACCCATAAGTGCCCCCCATAGACCCCTATCACCTCCCCATAGGCCCCTATGAGGACCCCATTATCCCCGCCCCCAGGTGCTGAACGCCGCGCTCCTATTGGCTGCCGTCCTGGTGCCGTTCCTGCCCGCGGTGGGCGTGGCCTTCGCCCTCGTGCTGTGGGAGGGGCTTGTGGGGGGCGCGGCCTATGGGGGAGCCTTCCTGCTGGTGGGGCAGAGGGTGAGGGGGCGTGGCCAGAGCGGGCCAATGGGGGAGAGGGAGG